TTTCGACCAATTACAATCAGAAATTTATTAGAAAACGTCAAGAAACTCTTTAATAAATGGTTCATCAGCTATCTTATTATTTATTTACTAGTTAATAAGATTTTTTTTTACGGCATTGGGACTGTAAATTCTTTAATTTAACAGCCATTTAAATAATCGATACCTCCTCTTATAATTCCTCACCTTTAAAAAAGCTATACAATGTCAAAAAATTAGTTGAAATCTTCTCTATTGCATATATTTACTTGATGGTCCAGGTGTTAAAAAGAATACGAAAAAAGTTTTTCAGATTTATTATGAACTTGCAGATGAAGGGTCTAAATATCTTTAAATTCTATGAAGCATTGTTATGATAATGGTTTGTGTTGAAAACAATGGAGAAAAGGCATTAGAATTATATTGAAATCTGCTGAACGGAAATTATATTGCACAATTTAATGTTGGTGATTGTCATATGGATGGAATACGAATAGCAAAAGATGAATTTAAAGGATTCCAATTGCAATTAAAACAGCTCTCTCTGGAAATGTTGATGCAATGTGCAATGTCGGGTTTTGTTATTATAATGGTATAGGCGTGGGTAAAGATAAAAAAGAAAAGAAACATTTAAATAGAACTAAATGCGACACAATATAATTTAGGGTGGTGTTATAACTTTGGCGAAGGAATTGGTAGGGATTATAACAAAGTATTTGGTTTAAAATAGCTGCAGATTACTTTTTGATGGATGTTGATCCAAGAAAGATGCCGTAAAAGCTCTTTATTGATTAAAAAAGCAAAAGAAAATGGAAATATAAATAAATATATTAGAAATACGCAATTTTTTTTTAAATTATTTCCAATAAATATTTTTTAAAGTAAAAATAATAGAATTAATTAAATAAGAATAATGTCAACGGAATTTAACAAATTAATATACAGTAAAATTAATTATGTTACGTCGTCAAGTAGAGAAATGTAATATTATTTATAAAAAAGTATTCTGATTAGTCCTTGCATTTAATTCATTAACAATAATAAACAATATGTGAATATGCATAATTTAAACAATAAAGTGTCAAAATTAAATTTAAAGTTATTGCATTATTTTTAAGGAAAATAATTTTAAAGAATAAATAAATTTTTGATTTACAACAGAAATATGAAAGGTTTACTTAATAGGTTAAATGCGGAAAATAATTAAATTGAAAATCAACAATGGTCATTACGGGATTTACGTCACACGTCGTACTAGTCAGGATAGTGTGGATGAATTATCCTAATGTTTCATCCTTAACTGTTTATTCATCCCCCGTGATTATGGTGATTTCAGCGATTTTGGCATTGGCGATGAACGATTATGACGATTTCCTTCTCCTTCACCTTTCACCACCTTTTCCTTTGTTCCTTACTTTTTTTACTCTTTCCACTCCCTTCTCGCTTCTCACTTTCCTCTTTTTATTTTTTGCTTTATTCTTTTTGATTTTCATTCCATTTGCCTACATTTTTATACAGAAGCAATGTGTCGCGGTCATGTAATCTATCACATGTATTTGGTCTATCAAAAACGATACCTTTGCATTTAAGATATATTAGATAATATACTGTATTAGATGATATTTGATATTTCAATTATTGCTATTAAAATAATCACAAAAAGATATATAAATACTAGAATTTTTAATTTTTAATTATATCGCTAAAATTCTAAAAAATTAAATTAAATTAAGACTTCAGTAAAATTATTTGTTACTTGTATTTGTTGTTTATTTTTTCGATAAATTTTCGTTAAATAAAAAAAATAAATAAAGAGTTGTGTAAAAATGATAAATTGGGTCAATTAATTAACACTTACCGTCCATCTTTATGATTCTGTAATATACTTAATACAGTATATCTTCCATGATCAATTGGCTCACCATCATACTGAATATTAATCAAGACTTCTTAAACGAAAATATTCTATACTTACATTTTGATATTATGATAACAATTGGATCACAATGATTACCAAATCAAGCCTCGTAATCAACTGTTTGATATTGGTCTAAACGGAATATGTTTTATACCAAAGATAAATTAGATAATTAACATGAATAATTATTATTAGATAATTAGATATTAATTTTTTTTTTTTACATTATTTTTTATAATAGATAGAAAATTATACTTAGCATTAGTAGACCTATATGTATAATATGTCTTGTCTTTATTCTTTAAATTAATAAATAAATAAATACGGAAATGGAATGCTAGTTAGGAAAAATATTAAAACTATTAGTGAAGCAAAAATTGCAGATATCTTATCATTTTCGAAAAATTTTCTGTGATCTTACCATTTTTATTTTTCTTAGAATGAAAGTTCTTAATCATTGTTTCAATGACTTATTAAATATTTTTGTTGAAAGATGTACTCTCTTATTTTAAATTAAAAAGGCTCAAATAAATTCACGTGATGAATCTGAGACTTGAATAACTTGACATTACTGTAAGTTCAAAATCTTATTTGTTGCAATGCCGAACCAATTTTATAATTAAATTTTTGATATTTCTATTCTTAAATAAAAAAAAAAATAAAAAACTGTCATTAGTTTCGGAATATTTTCATAAAATAAAAATAGAATTGTAAGAATCTCATCACATAAATTAGTTTTCTGATCGCAATTTCCAAAATGAATTTTGTCCATATTCACTGTTTCCACAAAGAATAATTCATATGTCTAACTATACTACTAATGTCCGAGATACAGTTTCAACTACTTGTTCTATCGTAAGAATAAACGAAATATTCTAAAGTGAAAAGATTCTTGAGAAAATTTGTTTTCTTGAGAGAATATAATACTTTGTTGTATCAGTCATTAATTCTTTTTTCGGGAGTTTTGTTAAAATGGATATAGCATCTGTGAAATTTTTCTTAGTAAAATAGAGATGATAGAATCTTTTATTAAATATAAATTGTAAAGCTCCTCATAGGCCGGGCCGAGCTGAGCCTCATAAAGCTCAGGCCGAGCCGAGCCCAAAAGTCTTAGGCTCGGCTTGAGCCTGAGTTTATAAGTTAGGCTCGCGAGCTTCATAGTAGGTTCGCTAGCCTCATAGTAGGCTCGCGAGCCTTATAGTAGGCTCGCGAGCCTTATAGTAGGCTCGCGAGCCTTATATTAGGCTCATAAGCAACGGATAATTTTTTTTTAAAAAAAAATTTGTGGCTTTTAAATAAAGCCACGAATTTTAAAATAAAAAAATTATGTGGGCTTTTATTTAAAGTCCCAAAATTATTACGGCTTGCGAGCCTATAATATCAGGCTCGGCTCGGCTTGGATTGGCTCGGCTCGCTAGGCTCGCAAGCCTTAAGGCCTATGCGGAACTTTAATAAATTGTCAGTAAATCTAAAATGTAGTTAAACCATTAATAAAAAATATAAATAATTAGTAATATAATAATAATTTGTACAAAGATCTCTTCGAAAAGAGAGTTGCGCTTTTAGAATGCATTATTGAATTTGTCTTATTTGGAATTCTCTATTGTTTGTTCCACATAATAAATGAAATTGAAAAATGTTACATTCCCATGCACTAACCTTACCATTCCATTATCTAAATAGTTCGCGATAAAAAATACCAGTATCAGTAGCCTTGTTTGACTTTCTTGTCTCCAAATTCATGATCTTTCATGTGGAATGAAAGAAGAAGGATAATATTGAAGTGTAAGAGTTGGAAGGACATCGCTAGAACCTTAAATGTATATATACATACAGAATGAAATACTATTAAATAAATTATATCCTACATGATAAATAAAATTGAAGCAGAAATAATTGTACTTTTCCCGGCCATATCTTAGAAATGACCTATTTATATATTTCTCTAATAAATAAGAATATTACACCTTACTTAATTTTGTTATCTCGTGAATATGATTATTTTCCTCTAACAATTTACTTATTATTGCTCATTTTTTAGTAATTTCTTCGATTTCTTGCTGGTTTTGGTCTTTAAAGAGCAAAAGTTAGGTTCTCTTTCGAGGTTTTCTTTTTTAGGCACAAATTATTGTACAAGTATTTTTAATAAATTTAATTAAGTTCATATTAACATTGCATAAAAGGATAAATAAAGGAGAATAAATAATGGAAGAAGAGAGTTAGTGAGCGAAAAATAAATAAATAGAAAGTTAAAAATAATTATTTATATATATAGAAGGATTAAACTAATTATGTAAATATATCATCATGGTTGGATTGTAAGTTACACAATTGATATAACTATTTATTGTTTATTTTTTTTTAATTATTAGATTGATTAAATTGACTTTTTTAAAAATAGACTTTATTTTTTTTAAAAAATTATTAAAAAATAGATTTATTTTATTTTTTTTATTAAATTATTAACAAAAAATAGAAACTATTTTAAACTGTAGTTTCAATAACTTAATTTATCTTCATAGTTTGAATATTAATTACACAATTAAAATAACTATTTATAGATTAAACGACCATATTTAAAAAATATTAAAAAAAAATAAACTTTTTTGTTTTTTAATTATTAAAATAGGAAACTATTTAGGCTGCATTATTATTTATAGATTAAATCGAATTGTCTTTTCTAAAAAATATTAAAAAATAGACTTTTATTTTTTTAAATTATTAAAATAAGAAACTATTTTAAACTGCATATATTCATATATTCATTATAACATAAGCATTAAATTTCGATTTTGATAAATTTTATTGAAGGAATAAGATAAAAAACAAAATTATTAATTACCATTAAATAGTTTTAGGTAGTATAGTGATTATATTGCAGTTTATAGATTTTTAATTAATTACTTGTCATTAAAATATCAATAGAAAGAAAGATCAATTATATGTATAAATAGTAATTTGTAATTAGTTTTCACTTGTAATCCAAAAGATTGTATATGTATTTATTAATAAAGTTATAAAGTTCATTGAAAAATAAATGAATAATTAATTATTAATATCATCTAAACCAAAAAAATTAGATAAAGAAGAAATAAGAAATATATACTTATCTCCACTTTGAACATTTTTCTTGCACAATTTTTATTATAGAATCACTGGCAATTATCAAATGAAATGACTCAAGCTTCCTTGTAGGAATTGAACCTACTGGGAAAAGAAATCCCAAACCATTAGGAAGTTTTGTTGACCCAGAAACTAGAAATCCGAAGAAAACTGGTAAAAACTGGGGCATAGTTAATTGAGCTAAGGTAATAACTAGCAAAAACCCTTCTTTGTTTTCCTGGAAAATAGAAACTGGCATAGTTAATTGGTAATGATAGAATAATAACATCAAGAAGGAGTAATTAATAAAATTTTTTTTGAGAAAGTAGAATAGAAAATACTTATTGGGGGTTGTTACATGATCGTAACAAGCCCCTTTGAGCCCTCAATATATCCAAATCTTCTTGCTGCATTCCCTGATAAATATTTAGAAGTCTTTGATTCAAATCTTGACGTCTCTGGAGTTGTTCTTGATTAAGGGCCTGAATTTGTTGGTGGTGGTTTCTTTGCTGAATTCTATCACTTCTTCTAGGTGTTGTAATAGTGTATTGTTGATTATTGTTGGTATTGTTTCTTCTTCTCCTGATTGGACCTGTACCTATACCTGTAGAAGCAGAAGCAGATGTGGAAGAAGCAGAAACAGAGGTAGAAGCAGAAGTAGAAGAAGCAGATGAAGAAACAGAAACAGAAACAGAAGCAGAAATAGAAGCAGAAGTAGAAGCAGAAGTAGAAGCAGAAGTAGAAGAAGAAGTAGAAGAAGCAGAAGAAGTAGAAGAAGCAGAAGCAGAAGTTGATGAAGTAGAAGCAGAAGTAGAAGCAGAAGAAGAAGCATTATTAGTGTTAGTAGTGTTAGTAGTATTAGTATTTGATACCAGCATATTTTCTAATTCTTCCCAGGTGATCCACTTTTCAGGGCAATTATATTCATCTTTTGGTCGAAGGCATCTTTCAGCATAAGGAAAATTTGGATAGTTTGAGATTTGGAGAAGCCTTGGGTCGATTGGGTAGTTTTGGTAAGCCATTTTAATAATAATAGAAGTTTTTTTGTGATAAAAAATTAATTAAAACTAAATTTTTAAAAAAATCTGAAGAAAAAAAAACAAAATTGGAAATGGGGAAATGGTTTTTTATATTTTTATTTCTAGGCTATATAGATCAAAAAAATAAACAAATAATTAATTGTTTACATGCTAACATGTCAATCAAAAAAGAAACAAACAAACAATAAATTGTTTACATGCTAAAACTCAGATGCATGAAATTATAGTTTATTCAAATTTATTTACTACAATTTATTTTTATTATATGATTGATTAATTACATATACTTATACATAATTACATCTTATACATAATATATTATACAGATTACGATTATATAGTTATATAGTTTATAGTTAAAATTTTAAGTACATTGAATATAAAAAAATATATATATTTTGAAATCAGTAATAAGAATAATAAAAAAAATTCTTTCTGTCAAATAAAAAAACCATTTCTATACAATACAATTTTTTTTAAATTTTTAATTAAAAAATGGTCTTAACTAAAGAGAAACTGCAAAATTACACATACAACAACCTTACAACTACAAACAAAAGGTGGAAGGCCCAAGAAACTGGATTATCAAAACCACTAAAAACATCATTGCTACCTCCAAGATTTGAAGAAACCCATTTGAAATCAATATTATTATCATATAATTCATTCTTGATAATAATTTGATGATGATGATAGAAGCTATCTTTTAATATGACGACTTCACCACTTTTTTAACAATAGCAATCACATTTTTCATTATCCATTAGTTATTCCTTCTCGTTATTTAAAACGTCCGATCATTTAACAGAAGAAACGAAATATATTTGAAAAGCTAAAAAACCTGATACAGAATTACGTTCACAATTAGCTAAACAGCTTAATATGTCATCTAGAGCTATTAAAGTATGGTTTCAAAATTGTAAAGTTAAAGTAAAACGGGATGTATTGGAATCTAAAAATGCGTCCAAAATGAAGAAACCAAAGAAATTAACTTTATCGCGAAAAAATTTTTGGATTCAACACCATTTTTATCTTCTTCAATCAATTAATCCCATACCAAAGCAAAAGCAGTTAATTCTCAAAAAACTCAAAGTTTTGCTAATATTTCTTTAACTTCTCACAAAATATTATAAATCTCAACATAATATCAATAATATCAATATCAATAATAATATTAATAGTAATAATCAACCAATTTATTATTCTCGATTAATTTCTACCAATAGTGACAACAACAATAATAATAACGAAGGTAAGGTATTTTATTCAAGATGATTATGGAATATATCGACTTGGAATGACAATCGAGCAACTTTGTAACTTTTTCGATCAAACAGAAGTTTTCTTTTCTTTTTTTAGATAAAATATGTATTCAATATTTTTAATATTTAACAAATATCTTTTTAGACTTTCAAACCTCACCCCCCACTAGCGATACCAACATTATCCGATCAACTATTTGATTCTTTCTATCACACTTCCGTACATGCCGATTCTACTATTACCATCGATAAAAATAATAACAAAAACGAAAACAACAATGTAATATTCATAATACTACTATTCAAAATATCCAAAATTCTGCTACGGATGCTTTCAAAATACCAATATTCTTCATTCTACTTCATCACCTCTCTTCTTTCTTCTTCTACAATCACAACTACTAAACTCGACAACTTGTTCATGGTCACTACTACCATACACTATCTCCATAGTCAATGTCAATAAGAATAGTAATAATGATGGTGGTGTTGATCTTATCATTATTATTATTATCAAGAGCGATATAAACAATGTCAATTCGGCTCAGTAATAACAATTTTTTTAATACCACCTCTTTCTCCTCAACTCCCACCTCCATCTGGTTATTAAATTCTAATACTCCTGTCATTATTAATAATAATCATTGAATATCACTACCATCGAATCACTTCAATTACAATAACCATCATTCTCTATTATCGCCAAATTTCACATCATCACCCATTTGGACATCGTTTCAATCTGTTTATCATAGTAATAATAATGATAATGAATGTAATGAATATAAAGTACAATTTATTTCATCTAGCGATATATTAACAAATATAATTGATTGCATTGTTACTACTTATAGTAATATTTGTCATATTATTGTTGGAAATATTGATTTATTGATCAAAACGCTTATTATATATATACTTCCATACGTCACATAAATTTACTATTTTGATTTAATTAATATAAAATTGATTGGTTAATTGAAAAAAAAAACTCCATATTGCACGGAAAAAAAATTATTTTTATTTATGCCGACCGATAATATTTTTTTTAAAAAAAAATTCAACAAAACACGAAAATCATTTAAAAAGTCCAAAAACTATTGATTGTTTATAGAATTTTTTATTCCTTAAATTTCTATTTATTAGACAAAAAAAAATGACAACTAAATTTCCACTAAAATATTAATTATAATTTCAAATAGTGTTCAATCAACTCAAGATTTATATTCATCATCATTACTTAATCAAATCTGGTGATAAGTTACTTTAATCTATACATTAAAGAATTACTTTTGGGTCAAGAATGTTGTAAAGATGATAAAGATTTGAGGAAGAAAGCATCATGTTATGTATTCGAACTTATATACCATGTATGGATACTTAAGCTAGAATTTTGATTAACAATCATTATTCACTTATAAATTTATAATTGGTAACTAAGTTTATTTCGTTTCCTTTTATATAAAACAGATTATTGATATAAGTGAATCATTAACATTAATTGTGATAATATTTTAAATATGGATATGGAATTGAATGCACATTCTCAGATTCGATTATCTGCGGAAACTTATTAGAACTCAAAACGTTTAGAAATCTTTCAATTGATGTTATAATTCAAAATTGTGGACTATTATTAGTCAAAAACTAAAGATTCTTCATTCAAGATCCATGAGCCTTAATCATCTCGGATTTAAATAATCACCAATTGGACAATTTATTTCACCTTTATATATATTGACCATTGTTATTGCTTCATCATTTATTCAATTAAGTAGCTTTCCCTATTTTTTTCATTTATGCCATCCATATCCTTAAGAATTTATTACAAAAATTCTCGAATCATAATTTTAATGAATTAAGAATATTTTCATTTGTTTGTGGATATCTAATGAATTATTATATCAAATATCCGAAAAATGTCCAGAATCACTTGAAATTATCGAAATTAGTATGAAGATATTTAGTGCTAATACTTTAATTTAAGAACATTTTTTGAGGGTAGTATTGTAAAGGTGAGGAAGAAATAAGAAGATTATTGTAAAACGTATATAACAAGTGTGAATATTTACATTAAGTGGTGAATAGTTATTGAATAATATGGAATGGAGTTCAAAATTGATGTATAGGAGAAATTAGAATATATATATTAGATATAATTTTGTTACGTTGAATATAGAAATATTGAAAATACTATGTATTAAAAATCACATGTAATTTTTGATAATAATTTTGTTAATAAAATAAATAAATAATAAACTTTTTAAATTTTTATGTCATACTAATTTTAATCGTTAAAATTAATCGTTAAAGTTAAAAATAGTCTTGTGTTTAAAAATAGATTTAGATCTTTCCAATTATTTTAAACACAAGACTATTTTTTTAATAAATAATTTAAAAATATATTTCTTATGTATTATTATATGTAATTATATTATCTGATGTAAATTTTATTATTAATATTTCTTTATAATTATTTATATTATTACTAATGGTTCATTATTATTATTTTTTATTAAAAAATATATGTTAATAATAGAATCTGGAATTCCAATTTAATTAATTTAATTACAATTTGATAAACTATATATGCAATCAAAATTTGTATAATGTATAATCATATCTTATCTGATGTAATTTTATATTTCATTTATTATTGTTTATATTAAAATCTTATTATTTACTGTTTATCTATTATTATTAATATTTCATTTAATTAGTATTTATCTTTATTTTTATTAATATTTCATTTATAATTAATTTTATTATTTTTTTTTATTACTTGATAGCAGTGTCATATGTAAATAATAGAAATGTCACTTTATAATGTAATAATTAGTCTAATAGTTACTTTGAATGCTAATTTGGAAAAGAAATAGTGAAAGTGACTTTCAGAATAATAACAATTGTTTTTTTTAGTTGCAGGAGATATTAAAAAGGAATTTCTTCTTCAGATAAAAAAAAATGACAATTATTTCAAAAAAGAATATAATAGTAATTGTAATTGTTGAAAATTGTAATAATTATTAAATAATATTTGAAATACCTATAATAAAAATAAAACTTTAGTAAATAAATCTAAGTTTTTATTTATTTTTCTTTTTTATTTATTTGTTTCTTAAATAAACTATAAATTCATGTTTACATTATGCATCTGAGTTTTAGCATGCATGCATGTAAACAATTTATTGTTTGTTTGTTTTTTTTGTTGATTTCCATGTTTGTAAACAATTTCTTATTTATTTTTTGATCTATATAACTAGGAATAAATATATAAAGGACCCATTTCCCCATTTTTCCAATTTCCAATTTTTTCTTCGGATCCTTTTAAAATTAGTTTTTACTTGATCTATTATATTAAAAAACTTTTATTATTATTCAAAATGACTCACCAAAACTCTGTGAACTATCCTATCGACCCAAGGCTTCTCAACTTTCCAACTATCCAGATTTTTCTTATGCTGAAACCTGTCTTGGACCATATGATTGCCCTGAATTGTGGACCACCTGGGAAGCACTTGAACAAAGGATTCAGGTATCAAATACTAACAATACTAACACTACTTATACTAATAATGCTTCTTTTTCCATTTCTGCTTCTGCAACAACTTCTGCTCCCACTTCTGCTTCTGCTTCATCTTCTGCTTCTGTTTCTGCTTCTTCTACTTCTGCCTCTTCTACTTCTGCTTCTTCTGTTACTGCTTCTTCCGTTTCTGCTTCTTCTACTTCTGCTTCTACTTCTTCTGCTACTTCTTCTGCTACTGCTTCTTCTACTTCTGCTTCTTCCGCTACTGCTTCTTCTGTTTTTGCTTCTTCCACTTTTGCTTCTTCTTCTTCTTCTACTTCTGCTTCTGTTTCGGTTTCTTCTGCTTCTGTTTCTTCTGCTTCTGTTTCTTCTGCTTCTGCTTCTACTGCTTCTGCTTCTCAGGTACAGGTACAGGTCCAATTAGGAGAAGAAGAAATAATACTAACAATAATCAACAATACACTACAGCAACACCCAGAAGAAGTAATGGAATTCAACAAAGAAATCAACCTCAGGCTCTTAATCAACAACAACAAGATTTAAACCAAAGACTTTTAGATATTTACAATTGAATGCAACAAGAAGATTTGGATATTTTGAGGGCTCAAAGGGGTTTGTTGAATTCATTCAACAATCCCCATTAAGTATTTTCTATTTTCTCAAAAAAAATGTGATTAATACTTCTTTACTATTATTGTCAATTAACTATGCCCTAGTTTCTTTGTTTGCAGGACTAAAAAGAAGGGTTTTTGCTAGTTATTACCTTTTCTCAATTAACTATGCTCCAGTTTTTACCAGTTATCTTCGGATTTCTAGTTTCTGGGTCAACAAAACTTCCTAATGGTTTGGAATTTCTTTTCCCAGTAGGTTCAATTCCTACAAGGAAGCTTGAGTCATTTCAATCCATTTGATAACTGCCAGTGATTCTCTAATAAAAATTGCGCAAGAAAAATGTACAAAGTGGAGATAAGCATATATTTTTTATTTCTTCTTTATCTAATTTTTTTTTGACTTTGATGATATTATTAATTACTTATTCATTTATTTTTCAATGAACTTTAGTGCAAAAAATTCAGTGTATAAAAAGATTCATACAATAACTTTATTAATAAAGAAATATCCAAATTTTGGATTACAAATGAAAATAATTGCAAATAAATATATATACATATACATATAATTGATCTTTCTTTCTATTGACAAGTGATCTTTTAAATTCTATAAAATACTATATAATCACTATATAACACTAACTAAAGCTATTTAATAGTAATAAATAACATTTATTGTTTTTCTTATACAGTATCTTCAATACAACATGCTAAAATTGAAATTCAATGCTATAATTTTTTTTTTTTTTTTTATATCCAACGGAGTCTTGCTCCAATAAACTTTATTAATAGATTAAGTGTAAATTTTAA